TTTATCAACCAGCTCCTCATACATCGAGAGCGAGAGGTGGTCACGGGGTTCTAGCCTTTGCCCCGAAATCAAAGATTGAGCGTGATCTCGAGGAAACTCGGGGCCCTCAAGAAGGGTGTTTGCAGAGGATCCCGAGGACTCATTAGTGGGTTCTCCTTGGACGGTATTGCGTGTGCGAGGCATTCTGCGTCCCAGCACTTGCTCTACAACCCGTTACTTGGCGTGCGATAGACTTGCACAAAGGCTTGACCAGACACTTTATAGAAAGACTGTTTCTCCCACCGCTGCCTACCAAAAAGACAGTTGTAGCGGGGCGTAGACCCAGTAGACTTTAAGTGTCTGGTTGAGTCCTGGCTCAACCGAGAATATTGAGTTCTTTGCTCAAGGAAAGATTCGTCTGCAGTGAACAGATGTAAGGTTCCAGGCCTACGGCCTGGGTGTTGTATCAGAGAAGGGTGGAAAGAAAGTACAGAATGTGTGCTGAATGTTGGATGTGTAAGTGTGTAGATGTGAAAAGGGAGATAGCGTAGGCTGAGCGTCTGCGTGGACGTGTTTGGAAGAAAAAAGCAAGATCATAGGATTCTTCTTCTTCCCTTCGGTTTGAGCATCCGCCCGCTGGGAGCGGGAACACAGGTATAGCTAAATGAATCTGTTCTTTTGATATCAGCTTAATATTCTCTGATTTATCTAGCCTTTTTACAGCCTTTCAAGGGTTGCGTGATGTCAGAGCAACCAGCGATGTGCTGTTTAGGAGACCCGAGTCCGAGAAAGATTTAGGCATCTAACCTTGGTCAGAACCAGAACTTTAGTGGTGGTATAAATTATTCTGACTGGAGTTGAGTAAAAGCTCTAAGATGGTACGATGTTTATTTAGAGAGCAAGTTACACTCACTAGGGAATTACAGGCATTTTTCAGTCATGAGAAGTAGACAAAGGTGTGTGCATCACCAATTTATCACAGCGGCGGTGATGCACGAGAAATCAACACCAGATAAACTTACCACGATATAAAAAATGTCTTCCCTAAGTTGGCGTCCCAACTCCAGAAGTACTGTTATTAGGGGGTCAGCATAAAAACATCCAAGTCCCTAAATTACGTTAAATTGTTAACATCCAACCCAAATGGATGTTAACTGTAAACCAAAGCTAATGCTGACGGATACCTAGTAAGAGTACTTGTGTGCAAAAGAATTAAGAAATAGATTAATAAGAAGGCTGAAAAAGTCAAGGAAGGGACTATTCACGAAGACTGCCTGAACACCCACAAGGTCAGACAGGAATCAGCCGAAACAACAAACGACAACAACAACAAAATCAAGTATCATGTGATACTAGGGCTCGTTATCAGGAGATACGGAGCAACAAAAGTCTGTCTGATCACCCACAAGGTCAGGCAGAAATCAACAGAAACATAACAAACAAAATATGTAAAAAGATCCTGATAACGATCTTTTATCCCCGGAGGTACGGATCCTCAAGCAGGGACGATAGGAAACATTAACATTAACTTTAAAAAAATATATGTACAGGAGGTATGACTCCTCAAGTACGAACGAAATACAACGAAGTAATGACTTAAGTCTTAAAAAGGGAAAGTCACACTGGAGGTGTAATCACAGAGACTGCTTAATCACCCACACGATCAAGCAGAAATCAACAACCACGCATTAAGCGAAACAAAACAATTCACGATAAAGTACGTAATGGTACTTAAAAAGATCTTTATTCCAGGAGGTACGGATCCTCAGGCAGGAATGAAAGGAAACTAAGTAATAACTTAGTTATAAAAATACACTGGAGGTACGGATCCTCAAGCAGTGTTTCTTTAAATCACTTGGTCCTAATGCTCTCAAACACTGGGAAATACGCAAAAATGTCACGGGACTTCACGAAAGAGTGCACCCTGCAGATGATAATGCAGCATGTCACGCTAAAGTCCAAAAGAGACCAGTCGTCTCCTACACACAACCAGCAACCACTTAGCTTTGAGGAGATACTCAGCAGTCCTGGTAAATCCGTGCGTGAAGTATATCCCAGGGTAAATCCGAGCGAGAGCACAACACAGGTAAAATTGTTACCGCGAAGGACCAAAGTGCGGGACAGAGGTCAGGACCGAAGTTGTCTTCCTTCCCCTTACCACGAGTACTTATACCCCGAAAGAAACCCCCAGGCCAAGCCCCAGGCATGGCGCGAAAGAAGAATATAGGCAAAAGAGGTGCCTAAAGACCCAGCCGATAGTTCGAAATCCAAACAACCCGAGAGAGGAAGGGAAGAAGGAGGGTAACGACCGTCACCTCCTTCGGTGGTTATCGTGAGAATTTGGAGACAAGAGAAAGGGAAAGGATACGGAGAAAATCCGATGTTTTCGGCCATAACATATATACAATAATTCGGTTAAATAAATTAAATAGATGTTTTAGCTTGCAAACTGGATGATATCATCCTTCGAGTCGGGACGTACGCAGCCGTACACTACATATATATATATATATATATATATATAT